CTATTAAAATATTATTTTGTAAGGGATTATCTTATATTAATTCAATTGGTTTTTACTTTTAGTAATAAATTGGCTATATACTTGATATATATATTTTAAATGTGGATTTAGAAAGGTAGGTACATATTTTTGAGTTAGATATTAAAATAAAAACCTATTTGGGCTTTCATAGTACAAACAGCATAACTGAAAATAATAATTAATAAAATTAAGTAATAGAAATTAATGGAAGGAATAAAAGAATTTCTCAAATGAAAAATACGCGTATGTATTATAGATAATGTGATTAAATAGCGATTATAGAAATTATGCATAATGGTTGAACATTATATATTGATTGAGCTGTCTAATTAATTTGATAAATTAATTACTTTATTTATTAGTTTCTGCTCAGGTATTACTCATATCAGCTACTTCGAGTGGGCAGAGTAGCACCTAAACATAGGCTGATAAAGAATATTTACAGTTTATTTGATTAATGAAAATATTTTTTTGTCTAATTAAAGTCTAAATAAAGTGGAACTTGGACTCGTGAATTAAAGTTTCATGGATTGAGGATGATTAATTTGAATTTAACAAATTTTTAAATAGATAAAATAAATAAATATCGTTTATGTATTAAGAATGCAATATTTAAATATGATCTTAATAATTTGCTCGAATAAGTATTAAATGGGAATTAAATTCCTCTATCGTTTATAAATTCCTTATTTCTAGGCGCATGAATAACAATAAAGAAACCTCAACAAATTTTTAAATAATATATACCAATGCTTACGTAAATATAGGGAAGGGGGGTAAGTGTTTTGCTTACCGTTTGTTGACAAGGGGAAGAGGGGGGAATTAAGGATTACTAAAATTCTGCTTACGTAATACTTGAATGGTCCTAATAGCATAGTGAATAGAAAAAAGGCATGCGGAATAAAAGGCTGAGATATTATTATTATTATTACCTTTTCAATTTTGTAATTGTATTTGTTAAGTGCTTCTCGAATCTCCTTTAATTTGTTTTGCGTTTCTTTTATGAATTTTTCTGTTTCCTCCGGTCCAGGCCTTTCTATTACTCTTTTAATTAGAATATCAGTCGTTGCGTACAAATAAATAATGAAATCAACATGTCCCACTTCTTTTACGAAAAGACTTGCTTGCTTACTACTTCTTGGAAAATCGACAATAATATACCCTTTTTTTGAATTATTCACTTTTTCCAGCATTGCTTCTTTCACTAAATCGACTAGTATAAACTAAAAATTAAATGTAAAACTATTAGAAACTTAATGACAGTATTGGAAATGGTGCAGCATTCAAAAATATTATTCACAATCAGTGAAATTTTTTGTGACATTTATTTAACATTATAAAGTAATACTATATGAAACACTTTAACATTTTATGTGAAAATTCATTTCCAATTTTTGCCCACTATAGATTACCTCAAGTTAACGAGGAAAAATGTGTTGCTGTTGTCGCACCTTCGCCGGGAATCGAGCATTGTTGCGTAAAACCGAAGCTTCCGGGTTCGATTCCCGGCGAGGGTGTGACAACAGCAACAAATTTTCCTTATTAACTTAAGGTAATTTGTAGTGAGTAAAAATTGAAAATTATAAAATTAGTACCTGTATCTAATAAAACTCACATAGTATCTTTAAAACAAAATAAAAATTGAAAGGGGCGAATATAAATTAATTAATTAATTGATATCGTAATTGTAGTGATCTCCAATTAACCTGTGGGGTGCGCCTCCCTCTTAGGGGACACGAGGCTATTGCAAAGGGGCGTCCAGCTTTTACTCAAGACAAGCACTCGTCTTAGTTATTTATAAAGTTAGATTTTTACGAAAACTGAAGAGAGCGCAATTTGTTTTTATAAGAAGGGAAAACGCATTTACAAAAGGTTTTTACTTTTTAGCTTGTATATCGCAGATGCGTTTAATATTATTATAAACGGATTAGCTTTAGTGATAGATAAAAGATAAGGAAGGATCTCGGCAGAGCGTCTCAAAGACAAATGATTAGCATGCCATAATTTGCGGAATATACGAGGGTGGATTGATAAGTTTCCGGCCTGACCAAGAAAAACAAGGTTTTTAAAAATTTTTTTTTTTTATTTCTCAACATAATCTCCTCCAAGGCTGATACATTTCTCATAGCGGTGTTCCAGTCTATTAATGCCATCTCTATAGACTGATTCGTCAAGCTCCT